TATGCTGAATTTTGTGTTAGAGTGCGGCACTGATCAGTACCACATCGACATGCCAAAACCATGCGGCATTGCCTCGGCACTTCTCTTATGAGAAGGAAAAAATGAAATCAGAAAGACATTCGAAATACTAGAAGTAGACCGTAGCGTTAATATAGATAGAAATTGACAAAACAAAATGGTGATTGAAAACAAAACTTGGGCACTGGTGCGCATCGGTGTCCAGAAAAAATAAATATTCGGCACCGGTGCACAACCAGTGTCGATAAAATATTTTTTTGTAGGCGGCCTACAATATTCTCTTCTACCGTTGGATGTTTTTCAGCAACATCTTTGTACGTATAATTTCTTCAATCTTATTATGACAGACTATATTAATAGATTTCTCATTGTTCTTGACTGCATTTATACTTGTTATTTTCCGTTTTGTTTATTTTTTTTCTCTTTTCACGCTTCCTATTGTAGCTTCTTCTTTATTTCTACTGATACTGTCTGCGCATAAAAAAGAACAAACGTAATAAATCAACCACCCAAACTACTGTTCTTTTCTTTTCTTACTCACAGTTCGTGGTTGGAACTATCGCAGACCAATCTGTAGTAATCTGAGTCGAAAGAAAACAAGTGGTGCCATCTCATCACGATTTCTCACTTAGACAACACAACACCATAATCATCGAGGTTCAATTTCATGGTCTGAAAAGGTCAAAAAATGTCCAGTATAAAACTCCGGTCAAAAAATGTCTTTTCCGAGTTCAAGAAGTTAATAACAATAATCTGACTGAAAATTAATTCTATAATAATTCTGAAATAATCTTCATTGGTTTTTTCCTCTTTTCAGATTAATTAAATCCTTTTTGTTCAATCTTACAGTTATTTATAATTATTCGGATAATGCGCAAAAGAAATGATATTCAAATGTTGCCGACAACATCTCAATTAGAGCCTCATCGTCAAATTCATGCAGCAGCAGGCGCTCAAACTACTGGAGGTTTAAAGGGCATTATCGCTGGTGAGTTGCTTGTTTAAAATAAATGTAAAAGCGTACAAGCTTGGGATCGATTGATCGAAGGAGTGTACGTAACTCTTATAGAGGAGGAAAATTATTTTTCCTATACAAATTTTGAATTTTTTTCAGGTGGTATAACCGGTGGCATCGAAATATGTATTACATTTCCAACAGAATATGTCAAAACACAATTACAATTGGATGAAGGTGGTAGCAGACGTGGTTTACCAAGGCAATATACAGGGCCTATTGACTGTGTTAAAAAAACCGTTAAATCTCATGGTTTTTTTGGATTATATCGCGGTCTCAGTGTGTTATTATATGGCTCTATACCGAAAAGTGCCGTAAGGTAAAAGTTTTATCTGTTTACGAAGATGTTTCACAGAAATACGTTCATGTTTTATCATTTCGTAGATTTGGAGCATTTGAAGAATTCAAAAAGCATGCTGTGGATGAAAAAGGACAATTAGATACAAAAATGAGATTGCTATGTGGATTAGGTGCTGGTGTAAGTATGCGTTCGTTTAAAAATATATTTGAAAGTAGGAAGATAAAGAAATAAACAAACAGTAACTCGAATTTTGGCGTATGTTTTTAAAAGACAAATTACTTAATTTCACTCTCCTATTCCAAATAAATTCAAAAGATGGGTCATTATGAACAGAAGAGATGGGAGACTCAAATCTTCAATTCGTTTAAATTAGATTCTTTTACTCATATTCATATTGAATTTTTTTGTCTGTTTAGTTATGTGAAGCCATATTTGCTGTTACTCCAATGGAAACAGTTAAAGTAAAATTTATTCATGATCAAAATATGGCGAAACCAGCCTTTCGTGGCTTTTTTCATGGTGTTCGAGAGATAGTTCGTACAGAAGGCACGTTGATTCTTTACTTCTGACCTCATTCTAGATGTGTACAATTTTTTTTTGTGCGCAGGTTTACGTGGATGTTATCAAGGCTTAACAGCAACTATGTTAAAACAGGGATCAAATCAAGCAATTCGATTTTACGTTATGGAAACGTTGAAGGAACAATACAGGTAACAATTAACAATATATCTGTAGTCTTCACTATTATATATACTTTTTCTCTTTTTAAAAGAAAATATTACAATATGAAAACAAATGCACCGGTGCCGATACTTATAACGGGTATTATGGGTCTTCTTGCTGGTGCGGCAAGTGTATTTGGAAATACACCACTTGACGTTGTCAAGACGCGAATGCAAGTAAGTAATATTAATAGAAAAATACTTAATAATTCGTTAGATTGAAAAACAAAGTTCGAATATTTCTCATTTTTTTAATCCTATATTACAAAAATCTTATTTTTTCAGAGTTTGGAAGCATCAAAATATAAGGGAACATGGGATTGTGCTGTGAAAATTATGAAATATGAAGGACCAAAAGCGTACGTTAATTTACTTTCTCAAGTTTTACATATACCTTAAAAGACTTTCTCTCTAGATTTTACAAGGGAACAGTTCCTCGTTTGGGTCGTGTTTGTGCTGATGTGGCAATTACGTAAGTTGTTTTTTACATTTATTTACTATATGAAGACTATTCATTTGTTTTTTATATAGGTTTATGATTTATGATAAATTCATCGAAGCGTTCAATAAATTTTGGCCAAGTTAACTTTCATCAACATCATCATCCAATTAATTGAACTATATTTGTAATATAAAGAAGAATGGAATTAGTTAGCAGCCAAATACATTTTTGTTGAATATATTTTTGAAGAGCAAATTTTTCTCCCACTATTTATTTGATCTGAGCTTTTATGACGTTAGATGCAGCAGTAGTTAGTTGCAACAATGGTGCTAATGACAGTTACTTTTATTGATTTTATTGAATTGAGCTAAGAAAAAAATGTGTATCGTAGTTTATGTGGTTATAGTTTATTTTTTGAAGTAGACATTAGATCGGCTATATCTATGCATTTCATTAGGTAATTTTTTTCTTACATTCCGAAAAACATATCAATTCTCTTGTTGACGAGTGCAGTTTTTTTTAATGCCGTATTATATTAGCTACTAAATAATAAACATTTTTTAATTTAACGCTCGATGTGTCATCTTTCTTTCTATTTTTATAGTGTTGTTATTTTCCTTTAATTTTCTAAAACGACAATACGATACTACTTTTCCATGTGTTTTTCTTTGATTTAGTAACATTAACTATATCTATATCAATGAATCTCGGACAAAACAGTCAAAAACAATTGATAAGCTATTTGACTTGATGGTATCAGTTATTGACACTTTTACATTTTTTTTCTTGTCAAACAAAAGCCACAAAATTCTAAAGAATTCTGAGCCTCTAACTTTACGTTTAGTAGATCTATTTTGTGCAGTAATACCATCCCGGTAAATCGTTTTTCTTTCATGTGTATTCCTAGAATGAGTTTGAATGTACCGTTACATTTTTCGCAATTCTGTTTTAGCACTTCTTTTATTAAATGAATTATAGAAAATAAACGATATTTTTTTTAATTATATCCTTTCGTTGTTCTTGTCGCTATAGAGTTCCATACATATTGCCTTTTTTATCTTTCTTTTCACAGTAATATCTACGACGATTACCTTGCAATAGAGATGTTGTGTTTTCTCAGTTTGTACCCTGACATTTTATCTGTTATATTTTGTATTGAAACGAACCTTTATATCTATATATTCAACTAATTTTTTACCATTTATTTGTTCGTATAATATTTTTAACGATATATATAACTTTCTTTAAACAAATACTGATATTAAAAGGTCAGTCAATATCTTATCACTCTAAAGAACTGTTATTTCCATCCTGCAGTGTTTTTGGAAAATGGTATAGGCATGGCCATAAGCTGAACAGGCTCAGAGCGTGTTGATTAACTCAATTTTGGTGGACATGATGTGGTAAGCGAGAAGAAGCGAATGGAATTACAAAGACGCACCTGTGCCAGTGATAAATATTTGGCTCATCTCTATAATCCACATACTCATTTGGTATCATTGAATAGATAAAATAAAAGTTTGTCTAGGCAGAAGGTATACTGAACAAGTACGCCAAAATGACGCGTCGTGTGCATCATATGACGAGCATAAAGAAAGAGCGATAGGCACAATTCACTTATATGGTAACTGCGATAATCTCTACTTGATTTGAATTCAAAATTGTCATAGAGAAACCTTCAGCTTGTTTGGATTTATATCGTTTGACAAAAGGAAGAATAGGTCTGTTTGGTGAAAAATATTAATGAACTTGAACTGACTTTTTCAGATATGGTGTCTTTTCACATTTGTAGCGTTTTATATAACTGCAGGTAAAGGGAGACTGCGACAACTGATGATGTCCTTGACAGTCTCGTACTGCGTAAGGCACTTGTTTTTTAAGACAATGAAGAGTTTCAAGAGGCTCTTTAAAAACTCGTTCCTACCGTGTTTGTTGAAAAGAAAAATGGGTTCTATCACATGTTGAAAAGTTAACCTTCAAAGGTGGTAGTAAATTTGCTTTCGGGTCCGCCTTGTGTTTTGGAATCGTCTGTGGGAAACAGATAAACATCAGTTGCCTTATCGTTTCATTAGCCTAACAAGGCGTTCGATTAGGCTCGCACAGTATCGCCAGCACGCCAGAAGGTCTCAAATATTTGCAGGCCTTTCTCAACGAAGGTTGTCGGGCGCATTTTCTTGCTCTTCACTGGTACAGCCGTGGAGTCGATAATTTCATCGGCTACATAACGAGTGTTCGAAAAGGATTCGGCTCTCAATATCCCGTGTGGGTGATCGCGTTTGCCTGCACTTCGTGGAATCTCAACGAGCCTGTTTCACAAGATGAAATCAATCAGTTCTTCCAGCAGAGCACAGTGTGTCTCGATCCAATCGACTAGGTTGAACGATATGCGTGGTTCGGTGAGACTCGACTGCTCGATGCGGCTGTGGGCTCAGGCAACCGATTGATCAGTGATGATGATCAATTATCCGATCTCGGCAAGAAAAACGTGCATGGTTAACAAGAGGAAAGAAAAAAAGATGTTCACTATTTATATTTTAATATAGAACCATTGCTATCTTGACTTTAATCTGAAGGATCGTTTTGAAACAACTTGACAGTCTAAACTCAACATCTAGGAACAAAAAGCAGACAGAGAAATAAAGTCTTTGGTGCCATTTTGCAGCATACGCGCTTCATCGATGTCTTCTAAGGATTTCTTTCGACCGATAAAAACTCAACCTGTCCATCTTTGTTTTCTAAGAACCTGTATACAAAGCAGAGTGTTTTCAGAATTTGCAAAGCGTTATTTCGAACATAAGTTTATTGTCTTCTTTTCGGGAGACCGTTGAATCATTTACATCTG